TGGAAGTGGCGCTGTAGCTCAAGTGGTAGAGCACTCGCCTTGAGCTGAAGAGCTGAGGGACAGTGCCCAGGCCCAGAGTTCAAGCCCCACGACCAACAAAAAAAAAAAAAGTGATATATGTAACAGTTATGTAAGTCAGGTAAAAAGGATATTTTTTTGAATTTTTGTCTTTTTATTAGCAAATATTAATTTCACAAAGTATTTTTATTGTTATACCCATATGTCCACATAATGTAGCTTCCTTTCATTAATTTCATTATCCTATTTCTATACTTATATTTTGTTATGTCATCATATTAACTTATAAACTATTTGAACATATTAATCCACACTATTTCTCTTCATCTCCTCACTCACTTTTTTCCAAACAATCAGTTCCATCTTTTACACCTGGGTCATTCATTTAATTTTCTGGGTCTAGAGTCTGCATATAAGAAATCTAGTATTTGTTTTTCTTTTATTTTTTTATTGTGAAAATACCATACAAAGGTAATGAGTACATTTCTTATCAAGCATTGTTGCCTCCTCCTTTGTTTTTCCCCTTCTCATCCCTTCCCTTCCCATCCATCCCCCAAGTTGTAAAGGTCGTTTTTCGACATAACGACTTGTACATCTCATTGTTGCAAGAGGACATTCTTTGGACAATGTCACCCCTTTGCTCACTCTTGCTCAGTTTTCCTCTCCTATTCCCACCCACAAACTCACTTACTTTTTAATAATGACTCCTAAAAAAAGCATCCTAAAACAGAATATGACACAGTTGGGCATGCTTACAACACACACAGCATTCTTTTCAATTTCATTTTCTTTTTATGGCCAATTAAAAGGGACACAGCTACCTGAAACAAATAGAAACAGAATATGAGCGATACATTGTAGGTAAATGCACAAATAGAGGACAGTTGAGTCTTCAAGACAAGTGGGGGAGGGGGGAGATAATTTCTTGTGCAGTGCTTAGTGAAGAACTGGACCAGGACAACACTTGCTATCTTAACAGGAACACAACATTGGTTTTCTTCCATCAGCAAACTTACTATAGTTACAGAGTGATCAAGTTACAAAAAGGAGTTTCACTATGTAAAAATGTTTCCAGCCATTGCCTTTCAGCAAGTTACAAAGGTACTCAAAGTTAATTACAAGGAAAAGGACAATTTGATAGATAGCTAAAGTTAGAGTAACATCAGAAAGATAGGGAAATTCTGATAGGTGCTGTCCATTCATGCAACTTTATTTCTAAAACCATTCAAAAGAATGTATGGAATGCAGAATAATTTCTTTATTTTCTTTCTTTCTTCCTTCCTTCCTTCCTTCCTTTCTTTCTTTTCTTTCTTTCTTTTTTCTTTCTTTCTTTCTTTCTTTCTTTCTTGCCAGTTCTGGGGATTAAACTCAGGGCCTGGGCTCTGTCCCTGAACCTCTCTGTGCTCAAGGCTACCGCTCTACCACTTGAGCCACAAAGCCACATTACCAGTCCAATAATTTCTTACTCTAGCTAGATTATCTGAACAATTATCTTGTTTGGACAATTATCTTTAGATATATTATGAATTTACTTTATCTTTCAATCATCATTTTTGTCTTCTCTTATATGTATCTGATGTATAATGTGTTCATTTATATAGACTAAGTTGTCATTGGATTTAAAAATAATTTCATGTTTTCATCAAAATGAAGAATGAGATCTGGCATTAATTATCTGACTTACATAAACATGATAGACAACATTTAATTTGCATAATTACCTTAGTGAAAAATTTAATATTCTTAATGGACATTTTCAACATGATTACTGCTTAAGTATGTAGGGGAAATTATATAATACAAATCTATAGCAAACATTACCATCCTACTTGCCAATCTAATTTTATTTCTTAATATTTTGAAGTTCCCTTATTTAAAAAGAAATCTCTTCCCTCTAGGTCTTTCTAGAGGCCTCACAAATTTAATTAATGGAGAAAGTTTGATGACCTCTATTATATCATTAATCATGTATAGGAGTGTTGTGAATATTAATCTGAAAAGAAAACACATGATGAATAGCACCATTGGTAAGGAATTGTGCTTTATTTTCTTAATTTCTTAAAATCAGAGCTTTGTTGTGCATTTTCTCAGAGCTGATATGGATTTTCTAATATCATGCCATAAACTGCGCTTATATAAATAAGAGTGTTATCTGAATAGTGATTACCCTGTACACAGTACAGCTACATATTCCCTCTTTGTGTCAGTAATGGATTTGTTGTGAGGCTGGGTTGGGCCTTTTTCATGAAGATAGCTATGAAAAGCAATACGCCACAGGCCTACTCTGAAACAAAATACCAGGCAATGAGGTTGATGTTTGTTTGTTCTTAATAAATTTTGTTTCTTTGTGTATTTTTGTTTTTTCTTGATATGCTGAAGTGTGGCTTCAAAGATAAACAAGGCAATGCATCCATTGTTGATAAGAGGAGTCAGCTAACTTCCTTTCCTCTTCTCTTCCGAGAGCCTGTCTCCTGGGAGATAACGTAGAATGAGGTTATTCAGGAAGAAGCAAACCAGATGGGGTCTTCTATAGAGCCAAGGAGAAGGGATTGTAACCAGAGGATTGGAAGGTTCTCATGAGCTCTCTCATTTACCTTTCTCAGATGTCTTTGAACCATAGTACCTTATTTTATACATGTGTGTGCATTGTAATGAATGACTGGGGTGTATATGCCCATGTAATTATTGCTCTGGACAAGAGGTATAGTCCTACTGTCTACAAGCATCGTCTTCATTCTAGCTAATCAAAACTCCAAGCTTTCCTCTTAATTTTTTCCTAATATGTAGTCTCTTAATTTCTAGTAATAGGAGAATGTACACTTTTAGGATATCTATGGAATGAAAATAGCTATTATCACAGTACTATGAAGGTATTTACTCATTTATTACATTGGCATTGGCATGGATTTTTGAAAAGCAGAGAACACAGTCTTTTTGAAAACTTAAGAACATGCAGTATTCTAGTCACCAGGCATTTTCTCTGTTCTGAGGCTGAAGCATTGTCTTATTTCTTTACCACGCTTTTTCCCTTAAGAAGACCATGTCTTTAGGAAGTGTTTCCAAACACCCCAACAAAGGGGTTGAACGATGTCAAATAATAATCCACTCTGTGGAATTGCAATCCTTCTACCACCCCCATTCCCCCCAAATGGTGACTATCCCAGATGATCTTTCCAGCCGTTGAATAAGGGGTAGTTGTAGATGGGAAGGGTTTCCATGGCCTGGAAAAGTGTGTCATTGAGGAACATCCAGTAACAGTTTTCCTGTGTTCTGTACAATCCCTACCTCACCTATTCACATCTAAACTCAAAAGTAAAGACTTTTCTTCCCCAAGAAGATCAATCACCATTTTTTTCAGCTCCTTCTCAAAACAGCTAGCCCAGTGAGCCACTTATAAGAAACCCTTGCTCTCTGCCTTTGAGACTGATGCACAACAATTTACTAGAGCTATATCAAGTGTTCACCGTCCCAGGCCAGGACAGTTTAGAACATCTGTGATGAATCTGGAGTCCCTATTTAACACAGAAAGAGCCACCCTATCTACATGTTTCAGATTTGCCGTTTGCCATCTGCAGTATAAAAGCCAAGCAACCACCCACAGCTTCAGGAAAGTTCAGAGTCAAAGGGAAATGGCCCAATAAATCACTCAGAGACTTTCACTGAAACACTTCCTGAAGATATGACCCTCCTAAGGACCCCAAAGTGAACAACAAGAGAAAAAACTGTCTAGATTCAAAAGCATCTTACAAACTAAAGTACAAAGAAGCAAAGTCATGGAACCAGCCTGGACATCCATGTCTGCCACTAAACTAGGTCCTGAATTCTACCAGGTCCCATTTATAATTGTGTTATAATTGACCACAGAATATTAGCAAAGCATATCACAATATTAGAGAAGTATATAATTTTATCAAAATATTCACTATAAGGGAAGAGAAAGGGAAGAAGGGGAAGAGAAGGTGCTGATTTGCAAGTTCACTCATGAATTGATTCAACTATTACTTTGGTGGAGTATGTTATGCAAAAGTTCCAATGCTAAGAACTACTAATTCAGCCAGGTGCACAAGAGACACACTCCTGTCCTATTCATAGGGCTTATCATAGAGTTATCTTAGGGTTTTTATTACAGTGGTAGAACAGACTTTTGAGGGGGAAGTGGTTAGCTTTAAGGGAGACAGCAATTGTAAATCTAATCAGAATAATGACATCAGTAATAAAACCCCTTCTGGGAGAAAGAGAACAATGAATGTGTTTTCCTGGACATCAATACTTTGAACTTGCATTTGCTTTGAAAGAAAACTTCCATTGAGAAACAAAAATACTAGATAAGATTTTCTAATAAATATGTTGCCAAACTTCTGCAGTTAGAAGATCATAGTGTTATCATGAATTTTATAATAGAGAAAAATTAAGAATTATTGCACTCAGTTCTTTCCCTATGCAACCTGGGTGTTATGACTTTGAATATAACATTAATAAAGTATTTGCTTTGGGGCTTTTCTGGGCTTGACAAATCTAGTCAGCAAACATGTTACTCATTAAAAACTATTTTCCTTTCTTAAAGGAGAAAGCAGTTTTCTAGATTCCTGTATGATTCGGAAACTAGTCAGACCCCATGCTTTGATTTAGACTTAGCCAGTGCCATCCTGTCATTTAAATTCCTCCCTCTGTTCTTTGTCCTGTAAAGATGGAGACTTCTTGGCCCACTGGTCTGCCTACTTCCAGCAACTGAGTTTGTGACAGGATGAAGGTTCCTGTTTTTGGGCAAGACATCATAACTTTGCTTTATGGAAAGCAGTTAAAGCTTAAAAGGATCAGCCACAGCAAAGGAACCTCTATGTTTTGATGGAAATAATTCCAATTTTAGGACCTATAAGTAGATTTGTTAAACCAAGAAAAGCCTCAGAGCAAATAATTTATCACTGACATTATCAGAAAAGCATAAAAGTATATGTACAAAAGTGATGTTTATCAGGAGGATGTTAAATGAAATTCCCAGCAATAAAGAAGCAGGTTGAGAAGCCAATGTAACTGAGGAGACTTGAACTGAAGGGCAGCAAAGCATTGCTTTTCTGTTCAATGCATATCATGTTAGATCTACAATATTAGTTCCATGAGCATAGAGCTTTCTATTTATTCATTTCTGTATCTCCAAGATTGTATTACACCACTCAAGAAGTACTATCTTAGACTGAATGAAAGATATGTTTAAACTAAACCAATCAGTTTAGCAAACTTCATTTTAGCATTTAAGAAGAAATTCTCAACTTAGAAAATATGTGCAAAAGCCCCAAAGTATCTTTTAAGTAAATACTATTATAAATTAACACAATTGCTTATAGTTGTGGGGATATTGTGATATGTGTATATAATGTGGAGCGATTAAGAAAATTAATTATATCTACAACCTTTCTTACTGATAATCTTTTATGATCAGACATTGAAACATATACTCTTCATTACTTTGAACTATGTAATAGATGATTATTGTTTATAGTTACTCTGTATACAATATGCATCACCATTTTTTATTCCTTCCTTCCTATACTTTTCTGTTAGCCTCTAGTAACCAATATTCAAGTCTCTACTTTTAGGAATTCAATTTTGCTAGGCTCCATAAATAACTGAGGTAATGTGGTATTTTACTTCCTGTGCCTGACTTATTTCACTTAGCATAATGCCATTTTACATTCACTCATGTTGCTACCAATTATAAAATTTCCTTCTTTGTGTGTCACTACTGAGACTTGAATGCAGGGCTTGAGCTCCCATATTTCTCTCTTTCTCTTTCAACTTTATCTCTTGAACCGTGTCTCTAGTTCTGCCTTTTTCCTGGTTAACTAGAGATAAGATTCTCAAGGATTTGTCTACCTAGACTGGCTCTGAGCCAACATCTTCAGATCTCAGCCTTTAGAGTAGCTAGTGTGATCCACCAGAAATTTATAAAATTGCTTTTCTGAAAGCCTAAACAGTATGTCCATATAGGGACATACTGTATTTTATGTACTTAATCTACTTATGTTTCCATAGTTTGAAAACACCCCAACTTAAAATTAACAGATATTTCTCTAAAGAAGGCATATAAATGTACAATAGATACATAAAATGCTCAACATCACTAATTATTACAGAAGCACAAACAAACATCATCATGAGCTATTGCTTTACACCAGTGGTATTAGCTTATATCAAAACTACAAGTAATAGCTAGATATGCTGGTGCACTTCTATAATCCAGGCACTAGAGAGGCTAAGGTGGGAGGATTACCAGTTCCAGGCCAGCCTGGGCTACATAGCAAGACCCTATCTCAAAATACCAGAAGAAAAAAAATAGAAGAGATATCAAGTGTGGAGGAGTATATTAAGAAGAAATTCATATACCAGTAATCTCATTTCTGCTTATATACTCTCCAAAACTGAAATCAATATGTTGAAGGGGAAATCTGCACTTCAGTGTTATTGTAACTGTGAAGCAACTTTACAACTAAAGACAAAAAGAAAAAAAGACCCAAAGTATCACTTCAAGTGAAGAACAAGTAAATTGTAATAATAATTTTCTATTTTCTTCATTTTCCTATAGTTCGTGATGCCCTGGGTGGAATTTGGTCATACTTTATAGAAAGTTTCTTATTTGGAATTATAAATTCAAAACTGATGCAGTTATGGATGTCCACTGTTTTTGGTGATGATGTCAATCATATAAGTCTCATCTTTTCAATTCTGTACCTCGTCTTTTATTTTTGTAAGTGAGGGCTTTGTTCTTAAAATGGCACAAAGGTATTCAGAGTAAAATATACACCTTAAAAATTACATACTATGGGAGGAAGGAATTGGGGATTTGGGGCAAGAGGGGATAGTAGAAGAAAAACAAATGAGGGGGTAACAATGTTTGATAAGAAATTACCTCCGTGCAGCATTTTTATTTTGGGTCCAGTTGTGGGGTCTGAACTCTGGGCCTGGGCGCTGTCCCTCAGCTCTTCAGCTCATGGCTAGCGCTCTACCACTTGAGCCACAGCACCACTTCTGGCTTTTTTCTTTTTGCTTATGTGGTGCTGAGGAATAGAACCCAGGGCCTCATGCATGCAAGGCAAGCGCTCTACCACTGAGCCACCTTCCCAGCCCCTCTGCACAGCACTTTTACAATAAAATAAAATTTACATAATAGATAAAAGTTTGCAAAACTAAACAAAAAAACCTGTGACACTCTGAATTTTTCACAGTGGAAACAGAGTATTTTGATAAACTCAGGGATGATGAACACTAAGAGATGGATTTTGAAAATTTTCTGTGAATATTTGTTAATACTTCTTAGTAACTCACATTAAAAATAAATAAAACATTGAAAATGTATCCATACTGAGACTCTTTCTGGCCCATTCTCTTATTCCCATCACAAAACATTTCTCTCTTCTACTCTCCTCCCAAACGACATGGACTGGTCCATAATAAATTTATTACCTTATCAGCTCATTTCCATTTCAACACTCCAGAGACCCCTGAAACAAATAGAGTTGTGGAAGGTACTCCAGCCTCACAGAGGTCATGAAGTTTTGTGAAGTCCATATATTTTCCAGTGATGACCCAAGTAATTCTAGCATATCCATGACAGACCTTACTACACAGTTGGGTGTGAATCTGAAGCTGGAAAAAGACAAGGGATGGCAAAAGTCATTTATGATGCTTTGCAGCTAAAACCGAATGGAGTGCTTTCTCTAAGAAAATCAGGGTACTCAATATTTTGACTGTGGTAAAATTTGTGCTACTATTGATGTGAATGCTTTATCTTAAAAATAGGTGAGTTAGTCGGAATGTCTGGAATATTTACTCTGGCAACTATGGGACTTTTTTTAAATTCAACAAGTTTTAAACCAGGAGTTGAATCACTTCTTCTCGAGTAAGTGGCTGGTATATTTTCACTTTGCTTAATAAGCTAGAAGTTATAATATTATATCTATATCTGTATGATCAAGGACAGATATTGACATGGAAATGACCCTCATTAGAAACTGTTCTGTTTGCAAGTGCCTTCTAATCCTTTCATTGTGGGTAAAATTTGTAACCCACCCTTTGAGTCTAGATGGGTTTTATTTCCCCATTAACCCTCCCTAATTGTTTTAAGCAAATTTTTAGTCTGGCCTATGACTCTCTCCAATGTCACTCTTCCACTGTACATAATGACATCTACTCTCATGTCTTTTCATTCCTGAATCCCTCTCTTCCTGTGATACATACACTACCCCAAGTTTGCCAACAACTGCCAAAGATCATTGCAGCCTTTCCATTTAGTACTCTAACTGTATAAACTATGTCATGTACCAACTCCTACTCTCCAAGGAACGTAGTAGAAATCTAAGATAATAGTGACAAACACTACTACATCCCACAACAACCTGTAGCTGATCCATTCTACTGTCTGGGAGAGAGAAAGCATACCCATACTTGTGTCCTCTGGTCTCCTGATTCTACTAACTCTGTCACATTAAAGACTATAATTCATTGATCCTAATGTCTCATTACTAACTATCCTACATCTTCAATTCTTTCCTATATGAATTGCCATCTTCTTTATCTGTCAGTCAGTTACTTTAGTGGCAAATCCTATGACGTGTGTCCTGCCATTTGTGTGACATTCTACCATGTTCACACTCATACTCCCTGCTCTGCTCTCACCTACTTATCATGCTGCAATTCTTCAATATGCCAAATTCACTCTCTGTGTGGACTTGTATTCTTTTGGTTCCATGCTCTTGGAATGTGCTTTTTCAGGAATGACTGCTTTAAGTCTTTTTATGCTTCCATTCAGATGTCACCTTGTTTGAAAAAAAATAGAAACTGTATAAAATTAACGTTCCCTAACGTCCATCACTATCCCTCTAGGCTTTTGGCTGTGCAACACTGGATACTAAAAGTAACAGATTTGCCTGGGTTGGAGTGAGAGCAGAGAGTAAGATCATTTGATATTTATGTACAGTCAAAGTAAATGAAGAATTAAGGATTTTTTAATACTCAGAAGTTCTTTTTCTGTGCTCCAAAATTATTACTTAGGCCCACACAGGAACAAGTGCACATATATACTTATTAAAACAATTTGTTGCTTGGTTATTTGGCTTATACCCAAACTCATTGTATGAAGTCAACATCATCTCTATGTTAAAACCAAACAGACATCACAGGAAGAAAAAAGTTATAGGTCAAAATCATTAGTAAAATAATATCAGGTTAAATTTAACAGAAAGAAAATTATAGCTTGAAAATCAATAAAGTAACAAACCAAATCTAACTGTACAAAGAATTGTACACAATCACTGTCTTAGCAAAGTTTAGAGGCAGAGAAAGTTTTAGGTCAGTTTACTTGATTCACAATTCTCACTGTTGGAGGCAGTCTGATGCCCTTCTAGAGAGGATGCCTTGTGCTGAATCATAGCAGGATAGAGACCTACATAAAGGGAGAAAGGATTTGCAAACTATTCACAATAGCTAAGATATAAAAACCTGAATATCTGAATAACGTTGACAAGTAATTGGATAATGAAATGTGTTAGGTGACAAATATAAGTTGAGAGATACAGACAGATAGGTAGGTGGGTAGGTAAGTAGGTAGACAGACAGACAGACAGACAGACAGACAGACAGACAGACAGACAGACAGACAGATAGAAAGATAGATAGATAGATAGATAGATAGATAGATAGATAGATAGATAGATAGATAGATAGATAGATAGATAGATAGATAGATAGATAGAACAGGAAGAATGTTCAGAATCTGGAATTATGTGTTATCTACACATATAATGACTTATTATTTAGTTTTTGAAAGAAAGAAAATCTTGTGTTCTCAGCCATATAAATCATCCTGGTTGACATTAAGCTAAGTAAAATAAACCAGACACATGAAAACAAATATTACATTATTTCACCTATAAGTAGTCCAAAGTAAGTAGAGTCCAAAATAACCAAACTCATAGAAGCAAAACACATTCGTGTCCACCAGGAGTGAACAATTGTAGTTACATGATAAATAAGCCCTGAGATTTAATACTTAGTCTGATGATGACAATAATAAGAAATACAATGCTTGAAGTTGCTAAGAGAACAGCTATTAAGTGTTCTCTCCATGACACTACACACAGAAAGTACATGGGTTATCAATATGTTAACTAGCTAATTGGTAGTACTCACTTCATAATGCACATACCAAAATGTATGTATACCAAAATATCAACGTGTATACCTTAAAAACAAACATTTTGCTAAACATCAGTGGCTAATGTCTGTAATCCAGCTACTCAGGAGGTAGACATCTGAGGACTGTGGTTCCAAAGCCAGCTCAAACAGGAAAGCTTGTGAGAATCTCATCTCCATTAACTACCAAAAAAGGCAGAAGTGGAGCTGTGATTCAAGTGGTAGTGCAGTATCCTTGAGCAAAAACTTAAGGGACAGAGCCAAGTCTTTGAGTTCAAGCCCCAGGACACATACCCAATAAATAATTTCTTAAACTGAGTGAGATAGCACATACCAGTAGGTTCCACCTTATCAGGGATGTAGGTAGAAAGATCACAGTTCAAGCCTTCCCAAGGGAGAAGAAGGGGGGAGAACAAGACCTAAAGCAAAATGGTCTGATAGTAATGTGAGTCAACTGGTAGTGTACTGAGTCCAAATCCCACTAGAGTAGAAAAAAAGACTAAAAACTAACCCCAATGCTATGTTGAAAATGAACTTTAAAACTTGGGGGGTAGGGAGGGGAGAAGTTGAGGGAGGGGAGGAAGGGAGGTTAGAGGGAAAACAAAGGAGGAGGTAACAATGCTTGATAGGAAATGTACTCCTTACCTTACTCGTGTAACTGTAACCCCTCTGTACAGTATTTTTACAATAAAAACACATTAAAAAAAAACTAATCCCATTCTGTTTTTCAGTATCTCCCAGAAGCTGATGGGGGGGGGGAAGGGGGAGAATTTATTCATACTTTCTGAAAAGTAGCTGTATTTTAGCCACAGCTTACTTAGTTTCATTACTATGCAAGTCAGAAGAACCTCTTAGTATTTCCTTTAAAAAAAAATGACCTAAAGAAACAATGACTTGCTTGTTAGTATTTTCCAGTTATTTTCAATTGTGATATCTGCTTATTTACAGTTCACTTGTAGTTAAGCTATAGTCTAAACATTTCTGGCAGATAAAATAGGGGGAAAAACACAGATACTAATTTACGCACATATATTGGGTTAAATTTTGTTAGAATGACCTATTTGCCATGAGGCCATGTTCTTCAGAGTTCAATTTTGAGCCTTGTGGAATACTGATAAATTCTTTTCTTCATTATGAATAGCATGATGTCTCACACAGATAAGTTTTACAGTCAAGAGGTCATTAATGAATTATACTTAATTATGCTTTCATTTTTCTGAAAAATGCAGATTCTGGAATTGTCTATCTTTTGTTGCTTTTCTCATGGTGTTCACTTTCATTGGACTTCTGATTCCTGCATATACATATTTATACATCTCATTTTCTGATATATATTATTCATTAAACATCTACTTCACACTCATTATTTTAAGGTAAGAAAATGAAAGCTGCTTGATTTTACCTATAGGAAATAGAGTAAGTCTGAAGATCACCTGTTAAATAATAAAAACAGCTTTTCAACATATCACCAGCAAATTAATGCCTCGCAGTTTTCTAACTTTGTAACTGAATTTCAAAGCAATGCAAACACTTTGTAAAAAGTTCAGAAAACTGCATGGAAGAAAATGATATTGTATAATGTAAGAATTGAGAAGTCATCACTATTAACAGTCAGTACAATTCATCTAGTGTTTTATTTCCCTAAGATTTCATAAAGGTAATAATCTTTCATAAATAGAAATTCTTATCCTAGGTGTGTGTGTGTGTGTGTGTGTGTGTGTGTGTGTGTGTGTGTGTGCACCAGTCCTGAGTTTTGAATTTAGGGTATGGGCACTATCTCTGAGCTCTCTTTGTTCACTTGAGCCACAGCTGTTCTTCTGGCTTTTTGCAGGTTAATTGGAGATAAGAGTTTCTTAGACTTTGCTGCCCAGGCTGACTTTGAACTATAATCCTAAACTCTCAGCCTCCGTAGTAGCTAGGATTACTGATGTGAGCCACTGGTGCAGCCTTACCCTAGAGTTTTGCTCAATACCATTTTATAATTTCAATGAATAGAAAATTAGATTTAGAAGTAGCTTTTTATGAAACCATCTGGAAGCCCTCTTGGATAATGCCTTCTTTGCTCAAATAAACTTTATAGTACTTTCTGCAATTTTAAGAAAATGATGAGTCTGTTAGGCTCTGGAAAAAACAAATTGCAGAATATAAAACCACCATCAGCTGGGACCCAGTTCTTTAATCTCCATCACTCAAGCTAGCAACATTCTACTGTCATCTAGAAAAAATGAGGTAGTTGTCAGCCTCAACTCAGCTAGTGCCAAATAAGTGGGAATTAGTTCAAAATCATCAGAAAATATTAGTATGAAATTCAGGAATGATATGAGAATGCAAGATAAAATAAAACTGACCAATTGATATATAGAAAGAAATATAATAGAGAGGCTGGGAAGGTGGCTCAGTGGTAGAGTGCTTGCCTTGCATGCATGAGGCCCTGGGTTCGATTCCTCAGCACCACATAAACAAAAAGAAGAAAGCCGGAAGTGGCACTGTGGCTCAAGTGGTAGAGCGCTAGCCTTGAGCTGAAGAGCTTAGGGACAGCGCCCAGAGTTCAGGCCCCACGACCGGACCCCCCAAAAAAAGAAATATTATAGAGATAGAAATAGCTACTGATAGACCTAAAAATAAGAAACCGATATTAGATTTAGCAGAACTAAAATCTACAAATAAAAAGAGAGGACATTTTCCCTCAATTCTTACTCATTGAAATTATTTCATTTCTTTTTCATTACCTCTAAGGAAATACCACTCAAGGGTAATGTAGAATCATCCTACCATTCAAATCTTGTAAAAAAAAAAAAAAGAAGAAGAAGAAGAAGAAGGAGGAGGAGGAGGAGGAGGAGGAGGAGGGAGGGGGAGAGGAGAAGGGGGAGGGGGGAAAGGAGAGGGGAGGGGAAGTATAAGGGGAAGGGGAAGGTCAGAGAGGAGGGGGGGAGAGGAGAAAGGGGGAATGGAGGGGGGACCATTTGTAGCTATTCCACTGAGATCCTCTCTGCCTTCCTCCCTTTGTTGTGCCAACAGGGTGGCAAAAGATGACCTCCTCTGTGTGTGAGAGAGTCAACAATTAACACAGAGAAGAAACTAGGATAGAATGGAATGAATAGAATGGATAACTTTTATTTATTTATTTTTCTTTTAGACTTCTGGTCATTCTGCTGATGAGCCCATTTTTATCTCGACTGGGGCACGGGTTCAGCTGGCGCTGGGCTTTCATCATGGTGTGGAGTGAGATGAAAGGAACACCCAACATCAATATGGCTCTTCTGCTCGCCTACTCAGACCTGACCCTTGGATCGGAGAGGGAAAAGTCACAAGTAAAAGAAGCTGCATGTTATTATTTGAATATCTGCCAAAAAATATGTTGCTGTGTATTCCAGATCTGTGTTCTTTTTGTAATGGGAAAGCTCCATCCCACTTGGGCTGTTGGAATGATGGGAAGACAGGAAGAAAAGGAACACATAACATCACATCTTCCCTCCTCCCCGTTCCAGCCTAGAGATTCCCTACTTCTTCATATTGCTTATCATGATAAGCCTTACATGGACTTATCATGAAATGGAAGGAATGACAATTTATAAATCATTTCAGTTAGCACCTGTTGCAAACTATATACTCAATATATTTCATTTTATTTACATCTCAAAAGAGTCAGAAACCTTTGTTTGGCTCATTGTATTGCCTTTTATAATGTTATAAGACTACATTTAATGATGCCAGTACACAAAACATTTTAATTTCAAGCTAACATTCTCTCTAAGACTGTAAAGTCAAACAGAATCCACTGCAATCACCCTCTCTACCATAACTCTATCCAAGATAATGACAAAGAACTCCATAGAAAGTTTCCTATGTGCCTGGTAATTGGTATATACTATTAAATGACAGACCAGACATTCAAATCTTTTAATTGTTCTTAAAGCCAAGTTACCTAATGTTAGATGAGCTCTGTCTTCTTTGTAATCTTCTCCCATCTTCCATATCTGTATGATCAGTTTGACAGTGAACACCATACACAGATCAAGAATCTGAAATTCTGAGCTTAGCTATTGGTTCTGTGCCCTCCTAGAAAGTTAATTAATTCACTCTGTGGCTCCTAGTAAATGTTCAATGAATATGAGATCGGGCAGTGACGTTTAGACTAAGTATGCAATGTAAAGAAGTCCTGCTTTGAACTAAAACCTTGGTAAATAAAATCATTTTTAATGTATATATTTACACTGGCGGCAACTGTTTTAAAAAAGAATAGCAATCTTAATTTAACATTGATGAATATAAGATACAGTGTTTTGTTTTGTTTTATTCAATTCTAGGTACTCTTTCATGGAGTATCAGTCTGCTTAATTACCCTGGTTGTCAATAGGTTTATTTTGCCTAAGGCTGTCACTAAACTTGGTAAGTTCTGTTCATCTCTATTCTGAATGAAGGGGGAATATTCTGTATATGCTAAAGAAATGATAATAACAAAGGGAAAAACTATATATATACAAGTTGATGGTTTCTAACTAAAGATGAAGTTGAGTCTCTGTGTAAAGGCTTATTAGCCAATAAACCTGCTAGTTTAGAAAAAGATTACTTATTTACATGACTCTAGAGTAACTATAGTAATAGTTATAAAATTTAATTATTCAACAAACATTCATAAAGAGGCTTCTAGTCACTTGACAATATCTGAACTGATAAGAATACATTGGTAAATACAGAAAAAACATTTGAGATGATGGCTTACATTGGGATGAAGAGAAAGGGTGAAGTCAGTAAGATGAAAGCAGAGAGCCACACATGCATCAAAGGCAACAGACCTCTTAGGGAATAAAAGAGAGACTATAACACATGCTACATTCCTCAGGGAACTGGAAACTGACTTTCCAGTTCAAGGACAGAAAAATATTTGGATCCCTGTGGAATAAAGCAGAGATAGTCCCTTTTACTTAGTGGGTTTGTGTGATGGTAGAAGCTAGGACCCAGATCTTCAGTCCAAATGCCTGAGAACCAAGGAAGCCAATGATATCAGTTCTAGTCCATTTCTAAAGGCAGAAGACCAAAGTTCCAGCTTTTTAGCCATCAAGTAAGAGTGTGAATTCATTCAGGTTCTTCCTTGCATTCTCCTTGAGCCACCGATTGTTCACTCACACTGGAGGAAGCATTGTGCTTTGCTGAGTCTCACAATTTAAATGTTAACCAGAAACGGTCTCACAGGCATATCTAGCATATTGCTCAACCAAATATCTAGGCAATTGGTAGTCCAGTCGAGTTGACACCTGACATTAACCATTATACCTCTCTTGCTCTTTTTCTTCACCAAGTAAACAAAAAAAGAGTTAAGATAACCAAGACATTTCATGCATATAAGGTTTTAGGCCATGTTTTCCCAGCATAGAGTAAGCACTCAATAAATATTAGTTATTACTGTTACCGTTGTAGCTCAACTTTTGTAAAGCATATAGAAGAAAATGTCTTAATTGTTAGTTTTCCTATATTTAGCTTGTGCTGAATAATTAATAGTTAAAATGCTTAGAGGTAATAATTAAGAACAAAGGCAAACTGTAATCCATATCAAAATGGTGATGTTATTTTTCATAAAATGTGTTTTTTTTAATCGAAGGTCTTCGGGATGTCACATCAACAAAATACAAATCCGTTTATTATACATTTCAACACTTTCAAGAGCTAACCAAATCTACAGCTTCTACACTCAAATTTGACAAAGACCTTGCTAATGCTGACTGGAACATGGTGGACAAGGCTATTGTACTTCAAAACCCATATGCAGTAAGCATGTGATAGCTTTCTATTTCTCCAAGCTACCTTTGATTGTCATTAAGTATAAATTGTGCCATAAACGTTAATTCTGAATTTTAATACTTGCAACTTGTCAAGAAGTTGTGTGAACATCTCCTCATTTACCATAATACAAAGGGAAGAAAATAAAATGTGTAGTCACTATGGAGTAATGCAGAAGTCATAACCCCTTTGAAATTATTGGTTGTAAATCTGAAAGAAGAAACAGCATATTGGAACTGCCTTTTAAAAATACCACACACACCAGGAAGTGAGCCTTAAAATATGTCCACTTTTTGACTGTGTTGGATGTTGGCAGGGTCTTTTGTTCATTCATTCATTGAGGCAAGTATGCTAAGCCCTTGGCAGTACCTACTTTATGGTTAATAGTGTTTTTACTCAATGAAATACTCAGGACACCAATCAAGTATGGTTTCCATAAGGAGGAAATAGTCAAAATTGTCCTAGGATCAAAAAAAAAAAGTTATCCTAGGATCTTTTCAAAGCTCCTGCTATTTTCCATGCCCTACATCATGTCTGATTTATACTGCAATGTTTTTCTGCCTCACAGGATATAAGGGACCAGCTTCTAAGAGATAATTAGTCTCAGTGAAATAGGATCTCCTTCTCTCAAATTATTTCATACCCTAATCAGTCTGCGTAAGCTCCAGATGGGGAGTCAGACCCAAGCCCTGTGCTTACAGGAATACTGCCAGGATTTCTGGACAGAACAAGTCTCACGTGAATTTCTTCAGTAGCTCCTGTGAGTGTGGACTTTGGCTGCCAGAATCATCTGCAAGGCTCATTTAAAATATCAAGTTCCCCAGCTGTTACCCTGGAGATTCAATTACTATGTGCAGTGCCCCCCTCACTCTCTCTCTGGCTGTGTGTGTGTGTGTGTGTGTGTGTGTGTGTGTGTGTGTGTGTGTGTGTGTGTGTGAAGCCTGAAGCCACTGATCTGGTTCTTGATCTGTTTCAGAAGACATGGGTGCCATTAGAGTTTATAGAGCACTGGCCTTGAAATATCTAGATGTATAATTTACCTTTGTTACTAAGCATCAGTCTTTCCCACTGGAAAATTAATGTCTATCCCATCTGCTTGTTGCATGTTCATTTCGTCCTACCTAAAGTGACTCATTTACAGCAGTTGTATAAGCTTAGTTAAAACACAACCATAGACCGAGCCTGTAGAAACACAGAGCATTACCCTGCTCTCCTAGTTCTGATTCTGGAGTGTGGGAGAAGGGTTAAATATGGACATTTCTAACAACTACTAACAAGCATCAAACAGACTACCGACTTCCTTCTGGCCATAATTCTGACTTGCACATAATAAATGGTGAGTATCTGAAAATTTTTCTGCTATATTCCAGCCAAAGTCATGCAAAGTGCTTGATATTTCTGCTAAACAAAATGATAATACTATGTATTAATTCTTTTTTGTTGTTTATGTGTTTTCAATTTGTGTTTTGTTTAGTTGAACCAAGGAGAAACAACGGAACATCAGAAGGTTAAATGTCCACACTGTAACAAGGAAATAGATGAGACCCTTAATACTGAAGCAATGGAGCTTGCCAACAGGCGCCTCTTGTCAGCACAAATAGTTAGTGTCCTGTTACAATTTTTTAAAAGTACTTTGGGAACTAAACACCATGGCTTGTGCCTGTAATCCTAGCTACTGAGGAGGCTAAGATTGGAGTGATTTGGTTCAAGGCTAACCTAGACCAGGATAAAAACAAAAACAAAAACAAAAAACAATACTTCCTTTTAATAGAAAAAGGCATTGTGGTGAGTGCCTGTCATCCCAGCTATGATGAAAGCATAAACAGAATTGTTGTCCAGGCTGACCTAGGGCAAAAGGTGAAGGTCTATCTCAGAAACAGCTAGAGCAGTAGTGTGCCTGCCTAGTAAGCGCCAAGTACCCTCAAAGTAATGCAAAACACTGTCTGCCATGCCAAATACATTTTCATTATGCTCAACTAAATGGCTTAATAGATTATTTCCAAAAGCAAAGTTTGTCATTGTAACCAAAAAGGGAGGGGAAGAAAGAAGAGAGTGAGGATGGAAGAAAGCTAGAAAGGAAGAGAGCAAGAAAGGAGGGAAGGAAGGAAGGAGGGAAGGAAGGAAGGAAGGAATAAGGGAAGGCAGGAAGGAGGGAAGGAAGGAGGGGAGGAAGGAAGGAAGGAAGGAAGGAAGGAAGGAAGGAAGGATGGATGGAAGGAAGGATGGAAAGAAAGGGATAGAAATAGAAGAAGAAGGAAGAAAGGAAGACAGGCTACTCAAATTAGCTTAAGTGATAGTGTTTTACTATGAAGATTTGAGAGTTTCACAGATACAAGTAACCTAAATTACAATGAATCTAACCTTGCAATGTGTTATACAATCAGTTCAATGGAATGCCTTCTCTGATTCCAATCCAGTTTTTCTTGGAAGAATAACACAAATCCTGCAGTAATACCAAGAAGGGCATCATGCTTTCAATCACGTCTTGGGTAAAGGCTAAGAAATTCTGTGGAACATTTCCTCGTAGCCTAGTTCTCATTTTCTATCCCTGTTTGCTGCCACACATCCTCTCCAGATAGTCCTGATGGGTGTTCATCTCATAGCATGCATTTCTCAACCATTCTGTCTACTCGGGATTCAAAGCATTCCTACTTGTCTGTCTCACATGATTAAGGGGAGTGTGAATATTCTCTGTTCAGTAGTCATCCTAGCAGCAAGTTGTTTCCAAGCTAGCTTTTTTCAGGGACCCAGATAATTTGTCTGTGCACCCTGTAAAGGAGGAAGCTTATCCCCACTCAGTGCTTATTCTGCCAGTAGATTTCCTTCCCACTCACACACCATATTAGGTATTGCTACCTTCAGGGCTATAATTTCCTCCCCTAAGATAAAATAGGGGAAAATATTCTTTCTAGCTCTTCTAAATCTGATGCCCCAGGGGTCCATAGCTCTGTGAGATAAATAGACAAAATGTATTCAAGGCCCCTTCAGGAGCAGCCTCTGAGGAGCTTCAGAAGGGAAGATAAATGGGAGGTTGGCTTGTCAGTTAACAAGAAAGCAATGGAACAGGACTGAAAAGCAAATGGAATTTCAGAAGGGAAGAGAATTTAGAACCAGAGGATTAGGACTGCTCCTGGCATGGTATTGGTGCCATCTGGTTAACCATGTTTAGCTTCTTAAGCTGTCACAATTATGTCCTTGGGTTGACAAAGCCGTGAGGGGAATTTTACAAAATAAATTAGGGCATCAATAACAAATGGGATAATAGAAAGGATGTGTAATCTGCTGCATAATTTAGGAAACAGATAGAAGAGCTTTTCTGGTTGTTGTTTTTTTCTGCAACAATTCCCACATCTAAATATTTTCAGTGAGAGGGAAAATGAAAAGAAAGGAATGTTTGCAGGAATAACCACCATAGTAAAATTACGTAATCTGCACATACCCAAACATACTGCTCAGTCTAACTGAGCAAAGTCAGAAAAACAGGCTATTTTCAGACCTCTTCTCAGTATGTTCATGCTCTGCCCCTCCCCAAACACACACTGCTTTCAGTTCATCTGGTGACAGCTCACGCTGCAGCACTCACACATTGCACCTGGACTGGGCCAGGTTTACTATGTGTTCTCCCTTTGATGCTTATTGCTTCTACTCTGATGCATGCAGATGTCCATGATGACCTTACTCCCTGCTCACTTGACCTTGCTGCCAAATTCTCCACTTCTCTAAGAAATGAACTTACTATCCAATTGTGGCAGTAAACCTTTTAGCTAAGCTCGTGATCAATGGCTCTGCTATTGCCACCACTACAACTCATTTCCTACCCACATACTTTGTGCAGTCAGGCGTGTATACACACACACACACACACACACACACACACACACACACTCTTTCCCTGTCTTAGGAAGAAAGATTACAATGATATAGCATTTTGCTTAGTGACATCTTTTGGTGCCTTATGCTATGAGATTTAACTTCTTAATAGCATTCACTTCTCTTCCAAGCAAATTTAGTTAAACTTAGGAAATATCCAAAGATTGTGATTCATTCCTCTGTATATCTTTCATGAAAAGCAAAATCTGTAGTGTAAAGTGGGTGCTCAACTAGTGCTTATTGAATTCTTCTAAACCTCTGGGGCTGTAAGGACAAGTAGTTGGTTCTTAGTTTTTCTTCTTTGAGATCTCTCTTGCTGTTTTCATTTCCTGACCTTGCCTGCTTTTCTTCCTTCTTTTCCTTCCTTTGTATGGACATATAACATTCTTCCTTGTTTCTTTCTTTCAGGTAAGCAACCTAAAATATACCTTATTTCATTTCATAAAATATTCTAAACCAACTGTGCATGGTGGCACATAGCTTAATCCCTGCTATTTGGGAGGCAGATGCAGAATTATGAGCAGGAAGATAGTGACAGATCCTGCCTCAAAAACCAAATGAAAACAGAAGTGGAGGGGGGAATACTTGGTAGAATGCTTACTTGGTATGTACAAGCCCCTAGTTTCAACCCTTAGTAACACACATACACACACACACACACACACACACCATTAATCCTTATGTGTTTATAATAATCTAAAGTTTTAACTGTATACTAGCTCAAAATAGTTTTCATTTTCATTGTCTCTATCTTCTTATAATTCCAATTTTAGTACTAGGCCCTGTATCAGTGGCCCAGTGAATTGAGTTCAATTTTCCCAAACAACTTTGTTACTTTTCTTTTAATTTTCAAATTTATATTTAAGTTTTATCCTAATAATCAGACTCATCAACTACTTTCAGAAATGACAACCCATTAATAGCTTTGCCTTCCTAAATATATATTATTCATAAGATGAATGTTATCATTGTTACTGATTGTTTCCAATAATGTCTCCAGTTGAGAGATATATTTTATTATCTTTAAGTGGTTGTAGAAAGGGTTTTCAGCATGTCAGTTTGTGAGTGCAAAGCAACTTGATCAATATCGCCCCTTTCATCTTTCTCCCCCACCGCTTCAATCCCTACCTATCTGTTCAGTTTACCTAGTTCCATTTTCACACATGCACATTAAATATTATTACTGCATTTGCCCACCTTTCCTCTCTTTGACTGCTCCCACCCCAATGATATTGTTTTTTGTTTTTCTTTTTCCCTGTTTTGGGGGGCTAAATTGATATTTGAACTCTGGGCCTCTCACTTGCTAGACAAGGCCTCTACCACTTGAGCCAACCCCCCAGTCCTTTTTGCTTTAGTTATTTTTCAGAAAGGATATCCCACTCTTTGCCTGTGATTCTCCTATCTCTCCTTCCTCAGTAGCTGGGTTTGAATGTATGTACCACCATGCCCAACTTGTTTTTAAGAGAGGACTTTGCAAATGTGGTACCTGTACATGATGGGATTTTACACAGCTACTAGAAAGAATAAGATTTACATCATTTGCAGAAAAATGGATAGATCTAGAGCAAATCAAGTGAAGTAAGCCCAGAAGAAAAACAGCTTGAGTTTTCTCTCATATGTGGAAGATAGACTTAAAATATACCAGGGCATGATAAATTACACAAGACTCCAGACATTCACACACAGTGACACAAAAGGAAGATATTCTCAGGGGAGGAACACAAAGGCTCAATGCCTCTATGCATCTGATCATATAAAATAATATTATTGAAATGAACTCCAGGAAATGGGAAGAAGAGGTTTTTTCCCTTTGTTGTTGTTATTGTTGTTTTCTTTTCTTTTTGTCCTGCTTGTTCTTTTATCTGTCTTTGGGAGGGCAAGGAGGGCCCCAGAAATGTAGGGATAAAGGGTAAATAAATACAGCAGTGGTACTCAACAGAAACGATGTTAAAAATGAGCTATACAACTTGTGGGTGGGGTTAGGAGGGACAAAGTGGGAGAGAGTTAGAGAGAAGGGGGACATTGTCCAAAAATAAATGTACTCTGTACATCCCCTTTATAATAATAATAAAAAATGCTTTTAAAGATAGGCCTTTGCCTTGGCTGGCCTTGAACCATTATCCTTCCACCTCTACCCCACATGTAGTTGGGATTAAAAGTATGAGCCACCATGCAAGGCCCAAGTTAGAATTATCTTTGAAATTCACTTTCTAATGGTTTGGCTATTGTGTCTACCTTAATCACATAGAAAAAGTGACATTGAGTTGGGGGGTAACACTGTTTGAAAAGAAATGTGCTCATTACTCTACTTATGTAACTGTAACCCTGTTCATCACCTTTATAAGAAATTAAAAAAATAAAAAGTGACTTTAGTAAACATCTAAATATGCTCTAGTGATAAAAATATAGCTGCAGCAACTAATGATAGATTTATATGTAGACAATGAAGTGTACAGCATATATTAATATTTATGTAATTAAGTGCAGTCTCTTTTTTGCTTGAATATTTGTACATTTATTACTGTTCCATTGTAGCTTTAAAATTTATGAGATCATGTCTGTCAATCACTTTCAGATTTTCATTTGATTTCAGGAAACTATAGTATTCAAGATCTGTCGAAACAAATGCAAGAGCTTCCATATTAGATACTTATTTTCATATTAAAGTGATAGGACTCACAATATTTATTAATATTAATTAATTCATGATGAAGAATTAGATTTTCTTTGATCAATCTCCCCATTAGAAGAGAATGGCACCTAGATGAGGCCATCAATTCTTTCCACATCGACAATCTGTATTTTCTGCTCAAGGCTAGTATTCTACCACTTGAGCCACAGCACTACTTCTAGTTTCCTGGTGGTTAACTAGAGATAAGAGTCTCACAGACATTCCTCCCAGAGCTGGCTTTGAACCACAATCCTCAGATCTCAGCCTCCTGAGTAGCTAGGATTACAGTGTGAGCCACCGGCACCCGGCAGAAAACCCTAATTTTCAAAGTAGCAGGGATCTCTGCTGATTTCCAAATCCATGGACCACATAGTCCTTTAGTCCATCTGCATCTTAGCTATACTCCTTGTTCATCTTAATTTGTTGATTTACTTTCTGTGATTTTTTTATTATAATGCTCCCAAGAGTAACAGGAATTGTCTACACACAGTTTTCAAATCTTTGAATGGAGCTGGGTGTTGTTGGCTCATGCCTGTAATTCTAGTGACTCAGGAGGCTGAGATCTGAGGATCACGGTTCAAAGCCAGCCCAGGCAGAAGACTCCAGGAGACTCTTATCTCCAATAAACCACTCAGAAAACTGGAAGTGGAGTTGTGGCTCAAGTAGCAGAGTGCTTGCCTTGAAGAGCTGAGGGATAGTGTCCAGGCCCAGAGTTCAAGCCCCATGACTGATATGAGTGTTTATTTAAATCTATTCTCAGCCAGCTCACTGAAACAGTGCATTCTCAATATACTAAGATCGCATCTTTTCTGTGTTAGAAAAGACAACACAGCATGGCAGCAAGGTCACATAGAGCAGGTTACATTCCATTTTTTAGGGTAGGGAGACAAGCTTCAAATTCAGAGAAATCTGAGTTGCTAAATGTCATCTTGAGAAAACAACTCACCTACTGAGCTTCAATTTTCACATCTGTAAAGTGTAGGATACTTACCTTCTTCATAAAGTTGTTGCAAGAGTACAAAGCCTATGGAGATCAACTCATTTGATGGCTGATATTTTTTAGAACTCAATCGGTCCATCAATCTTGAATTTTTATAGAAATGTTCACTTACCAGTTAAACTTTTCCTGATCTTTAACTGCTTTGTCATTTACATTGCTAAACTTACATAAGACCCATATTATTTTCAACTTCTTTCTTTTTTCCATAAACTACAATTTTTAACTTCAAATATGAAAATATTTTAAATCTTCTACTGCTTTGACAGTGCTTTCATGCTATTTAAGAAGGATGATGCTATTCAATAAAATTGGATGCAGAAAATGGGCTGTTTTACTTTAGCAGTTTTGGTGATGTCTGTGGCGGGTGAATCGGAGCTTTGTGTGTACCAGACAAGCCCTCTATCACTTAAACTACACTCCTCAGCCTAATAAATGCCTTTTCATCACAATCCTCGAATTTAGTTGATAGTTTCTTTTGACAAAATAAATGTATATAAGCCCCATAAATGATTGTGTAGTAAGAATGCCTGCTGTGGAACCCAGGAATCTGGTTATAACATAGATTCCACTTTAGGAAATTGGCCCACTGTGATCCTCAGCAGTGTTGAGCACTTACACAACAGAATCCAACAGTTGCATCCATAGTACCAAACATTTTCCCTGAATCTGAGTGTATTCTCTATATTTGTGCTGAAGAATGTAGTGATTGTATTGTGCAGAATAGTAGCAGTCCTTTTTGGTTTTTAGTTTTGGTAGTACTAAGGTTTGAACCCAGAAAGTCCCATTTTTTTTCTACTACTTGAACAGGTGCTCTGTTACTTGCTTACCTTTTAGCTGTTTTTTGCTTGAGTTTGTTTACAGATAGGGTCTTACACTTTTTCTCACAGCCATCTTGGTATCTCTGATCTTCTTATCTATGCCTCTGGAGCAGCTGAGCTTACAAGCATGAACCATCATACCCAGTTTATTGGTTGAAGTGGAATTTCACTGACTTCTTTCCTGGGATGGCCTTCAACTGCCATCCTCTTGATTAGGCTCCCTTTATAATAGCAGTGAAGTTTTGGTACAAAAATATTTGGTTTAGTCGGGGCACGGGGGGGGGGGAAGAGAAAGGAAGGAGAAGGATTGGGATTGGGGGAAGGGGGGAGGCTGGGAAGGGATCTGAAGGGTAAACAAAGGAGGAGGCTGCAATGCTTGGTAAGAAATGTACGCATTATCCTGCCCATGCAATTGTAACCCCTCTGTACAGTATGTTCACAAATAAAATTAAATTAAATTAAAAAAATATTTGGTTTAATATTTTGGGTTCAAATAAAGATCCCAAACTGGATGTTTTTTTTTAAATAAAAAACTCTAAGATTTCTCAGAACCTTGAATTTTGTGCGCATGATGAGCTTTTAAGATAGGATCACACCTTGCAATTGTTATGAGCTTATTTTTAATGAGCTCTATTTATCTATGTATCTATTTATTTACTTATTTAAAATTTGGCTGACAACCAGAAACCAGTACTGTAGCTGCTTACAAGACCAGCTGCTTCCACCCAAAGCCCAGATCCATCTTCTACACGAATCTGGTGTCTAGGTGCTTTCTGAAAACATACTAATGATTGAGGACTTTGTCTTCTTTTTCTGAAGATTCTGTAAAGGTGGTAATAAATTGTCATTGTTGTCTATGCTACATAATGATTTGGATCCACTTCCTTTTAGGCAAGCTACCAGAGACAATACAGAAATGAGACTTTGCCCCAGAATGCAGTTCAGGTGCTAGTAGGTGCAGCAGGAAGCTTCGGAGAGAAGAAAGGAGAGTAAGTATGTTTTCAGGGCAAGACTTCTATCCTAAGCCACTGCATGTAGGAAAGTATACAAATGAGGTTTCGGGGTTTTGTATGATTGCTTCCTTCATCTAGTGTTAGATAGATGGATAGATAGATAGATAGATAGAGACATAGATAGAGACATAGAGACATAGAGACATAGACATAGTTATAGATAAGGGACTTTCTGCTTTATACCCCAAAGTTAAGTCAAATCACCCGCTTTCGGCTTCCCAAATTTGATATACCTATTCACACCAATGTGCAGTTTTGCAGGCTGCTCTTTATGACTGAAAGGACCTGACATTTCTCTTCTTGACCCCCCTCCCACCTGCAAAGCTAAGTTATAGCAAGCAACTTTCTTTGAGAAGAATAAAAAGGAATACCTTTGAATATATAAGAACAAAGTGTTCCTTAATCTCTGCTGGTACATCTCAGCGCACAGGTATGCACACTCGATACTCAGCACATTTAGAATCTAGCACTCATTCCCTCAGTAGAGGCCTTGACAATATATACTAAGTCCCTTGAGCCAGTGCATTGGAGATCATACTCAGGTCACTTCTTCTGGAGGATCTGTGATTGGACACAAGGAGTAGTTAAACTGTGATGCAGTAGAACAAGATCAGCTCACTGCTCATTCTAGTCCCCAGAACTGGCTCCACTTGCCAAAGACACCAAGACCTCAGCAGTAATGTCCCTAAACTTATTTACAGAATCTTCTTGGACCTTAGTCCCTGGGTCAAATTGCCACAAATTGCAAACTGGCTCTTTGGTATACACATACCTAAATGCATCAACCTATGCCCACTTGCATGAGCCAGCTTATGCAGTGAAAGGCACAGCTGAATGTGAGAAGCATCCAGAAGCTATAGCCTTGTTGCATTTTAAGAATAGATTTGAAAACAGTGAAAGTTTTCATTTCCAACCAACACAAATCAATATGAGGTTTCATGTGTCAAGTTAGAAAGATAAAATAGATGTTACTTATAAATTAGTTTTTTAAAATTTAAAACATTGAAATGTTTCTATATATGGTACAAATATCTTTATTTGTCCATAGTCTTAAAACACTTAGATAGACTGGATGGAATTGAAGGACTTTAGAGAAATGGATGGGTAAATGTGCCAAACTGAAACAAGACATTGCCTTCTTAAAAACAAGACCTGAAATATTTGGTTTATTATATTGAGTTCCAGACTTGATACTATTTTTTTCTTTTTGCTGGTTCTATGGCTAGAACTCTGGGCATGGGTGCTGTGTTTGATCATCTTTTGCTCAAGATTAGTGCTCTATCACTTGAATCATAGAACTACTTATGGTTTTGTAAAAAAAAAAAAAATGGAGATAAAACTCTCCTGCTCGGACTGGCTTCAAACTGCAAACCTCAGATCTCAGGCTCCTGAGTAGGTAGGATTACAAACATGAGCTACCTATGCCTGGATAGACTCCATACATTCTTATATACTTAACATGTATTACTTATTTTTTTAATCTCTCCATGAGAGAAGTGGTCTTGTTATCTTCATGATGCAGGAGAGGAAAGTAAAGCATGGAGAGATGATTAATTTATCAATATTACTAGTCTAATAAATTACAGAGCTAGATTTCAAACCCAAGCTGCCTCCTGGTTATAGAGATGGAGCTGTTTCCCTAAATCAGTTATAAACTGTGTTCATATCACTGTAAAACTGGAATTGGAGAGCTTGAATTACTTAGAAGTTTAGTCTATAAATGATCTCACACACTGGCAAATGGATCAATGGGAACTGTGAAATTGCCATCTTTTAGACAGTATGTAAGCCTTCCATCTCCATGACTCTATTCGATGTTCTCTTTGTGGGTAGAATATGGCCTATTATTTATTATCTCCTTGGTAACACTCATTATACTTCATTATAATTGTTATTTACATGATTTCCCCCATACTTGTCTGCTGGAGCCCTGAGGACAGACAGAATTATTTATTTACTTATGATTTATCCACAGTATTTAGCAAATATAGTAGACTTTCAATATGCACATCTAATTTATGAACAAATCAAACTACACTCATTAAAGGTTCTCCATGTAGTTGCATTATTATATTGAAACTTTAAGAACGAAATGTCTCACTGTTTTCAACTGACAAAAAAAACTGCAGAAATTGCAGTTAGGCAGACTTATGATGGTCAATAGGGAAGACAAAGTCCATTTTCATCTTGGACTTCCAATGATATTCTATTAAGCCATTAACAAGCTGGAGTCTTAAGAACCAGAGACAGAGATCCCTACCATCTTTCTGATGAAGAACATGGAAGTATCTGGTCAACAATAGGTAAATTGCTTACAAAAATCAAGAGGATGCGCTAAGCAAGACCAAATCACAACACCCACACTTGAGTTGGCTCATTACAAAAATCAACACACCAAAACTAAAAATCAGCAGACACCTGGCAAGCGCAAATGTCTTTGAGGTTATCTATGACACTGACTTCCCCATGTTAACACTTCATAGTCATTTAACACTCTATAGTCATTTAAATTTGGCTACTAGTCCTGAGTATGAAACTATAGTTGGGAAGATGTATGAGATAGGTTAGACACTTCACATAACTTTTCACTTAATTGTCTCAGCCTGATGTACTTATTTTCAACCCCACTTCCTAGATCTGGAAGCTACTGAGAGCATTTGTTCACTATCACACTAGACAATGGGGATCAAAAATACAAACTAGCATCTCTTTATCGCAGATATTTGATTTGGGCTTTGCTTTACCTCTCTGCAAGTGAATATCTTATGTTTCAAAATGCATCTCCCCAATATTTTGTAGCCTCTCATGAATGAATGAGTCTTACAACCTCACAATTGTCTGATTACTTGTGTCTGCAGCATCATGACTTGGAAATAGATATATCTAATTTACAGTCATCTAGGCACAAAATATTCCTCCTGCCTTTTCCCATTGTTGCATTAAACTTATCTCAATATGCTTAAAGATCTCTCCTTTTCTTAGGCATATGAGTCCTGAGACAATAAAGACTTATTCTGAGAGCAGAAAATTGTTTGCCTTCATTAGAAAAGTACTTCTCAACTGGGTATATAATACCAAAAAAGAGAAAGGTACACCATCCAGGTAAGCACTGTTGAAATGAAAAATGGAGGTCCCCTTTCAAAGATCCCTTCTTATTTCTATTTTAATTCTAACCTAAGTACTTTGCAAAATATTTTGAGGTATCTTTAAACTATAATGTATGTAATTATGTCTATATATGTATATGTATGTCTACATAAATGTATGTATACTTGTCTATGTGTATATACACACATGTGTATATACACATATATGTATATATATATGTGTATGTACATATATACACATATAAGACAATTACTTAAAGAAATTAGAATAACAAAGGAGAAGGTAACAATGCTCTATAGGAAATATACTCATTACCTTACTTCTGTAACTGTAACCCCTCTGTACAGTATCTTTACAATAAAAAAAGAAATAAGAATAATGTTCCATTTTTGTAATTAGGTAAGTTGTACATAGACTTAAAACCAACAATTCCTTATTTTAAAGTAAATATGTCAGTGTTATTTAGGAACTTCATAACGTTGGGCAAACATCAACATTTGCATTGGCCCTAACGTAAACCATTTGATAGTAACTCCTCACTCCCCTCCTCCAACTCCTGGGAAGCACTAAACTGTTTCCTTTTACCTATGCTGAATTTTCAAATAAATGAAATTATCAGTTCATGTCTTTGTGCTGCTAGTTTCATTAGGCTTCATGTTTTATTAGCTGAATGAGCTTTACAGGCCTTTCTTTCCTTATTTAGGTACTGTATATTGTAAATACTCATGTCATATTCCAGTGACTAAACCATATATGCTAATAACTGATACATTGTAAGTACTAAAATATGCTAACTGGGCCCTTCTTGGCTTACTTCATGTGATTGTTATAAAGATTATATAAATAGCTAGTATGGAAGAAATGGCTCCAGAACAAGCACTGACTATACACTTTAAAAATGTAAGCACTTATTATCAAATGCTGAACAGTAATCCATTAAGGATGCATAAAGTCTAGCACTATCACCAAACAAAGGAGGAATAAAAGAGCCATGAAAGAGAATAAGAAGAAATAATAACAGATTTATGTTTCTCTGTCTTCAATTGTTAGAAATAATACCTAAGATAACTATGCTAACATGCTGAAGTTTGCAGACAATAGAATCATTATAATATCTGAAATTTGGAATACATTCAGCTAGAGCTGTGCAAGGTGAAATAAATGCACAACACTGGTGAGGCTTTTAAATCAATACCAGGGCTCTGAGGAAAAAGACTAGCACTTGAAATGCTAACATAAGGCTTTGAGCCCCCAGATTCTCATGAACATGCTGGTGTATGGCAGAAGCAGCCCTTTCCACAATTTGAGGATGCAGTTTCCTGTTACTTTGAAATGCTGCAAAGACATCGGAAAATGAATTTATCCTTAACGTTAGTCTTTATCATCTTTCATCACTTCCAGGGAAATTACATGGTTAGGTCTCAGCACAGCTAGAAGGAGAAACAGGGCCTGCTGACGACTGAAGGAATGGTAGGAACTGGTCAACACAATGAATCTGAAGTACACTGGGCCAGAGCTTGCAACATAAGGCCAGAACCGAATGGCTTGTGTGGGCCTTTGAGCCCATAATCACACAGGGCTCAGCAATCTTTCAGGATAATTGGAGCTGGTGCTATTATATTATTGGGATGGTTCTTTGAAATTTGAAAATAAATAAAAATAAAATAACCTACAGAAAAAAAAACCATAAATGAAATCTGGCTTAAATTGTTATGTGAGAATGAGCAATCAGCCCCATGACCTGCTTCTCTGAGGTCTAAAGAACCAAGGCAATAATGAAGCTTGCCGAGAAAATTAATGGAGATGCCTTGTGCAGGCTGTAGCTGACACTAGGTGGTCTTTGTAGATTGATCTCTCTAATTATCAAAAGACTGGATAAGGTTTTGAAATGGCAAAAAGATGACAGCGCTTAAAAGCTAGAGGCAAGGCAGGAATATGTTTTATTTTAAATAGATATACCTAGATCAAAGACTAATGTGTTATAACTTTCAAAGTTCCTGGATCTGGATACAGGTAGGACATGATGAATACAAATGAATACATAACACTTTTTGAATAATCAGAAGAGATAATGGTCTCTGACCTCTTCTCTTTGATATATCCAAGTCAAGTTCTCAGAATCATAGCCAGTGATAAGGATCTGCAACACCATCACAAGGATATATATCAAATGTTTCCTTAGTATTTTCTCAAATGTATATTGATCACTTTTACCAGAGTTATTGCACATGGGAGAAAAATAGATACAGCATTTTAGACGTTAATAGTATCAATGTTCAATACAGGCTTCAATACAGACCAGAGCTTTTTAGATTGTATAATGTAGAGAGTCTCTAGCCTATATTGCCTCAGTCATAGTTCATCAAGTTCAAGCATTTACATTGCTTCATTAACATATAGAATAAGATTCGTTATGCAGGAAAATAGCCCAGGGGTATCTATAACCAGAATAGTAGCAGGAAACAATAAAGCATTCCAAGAGAAATTAATAAGTTAATGACTACTGGAACAATTTCAAAAGTGTGGCCTCTTCATACCTTTTTTTAAATTCAGTCATTCTGCAGAAACAAGACAGATTGTAGCCAGCCATAAACTTAATCAAGAGGTAACTCAAGTGTTGTGCTATGCCATATAGAGGTTTGCTGCCAAAAGGGATCAGGAAATGTAATCTGGAGACAGAACTGAGCAAGACAGAGTCCAGGCAAGGAAGTGAATATAGTTAACAACTCCTTTCATACACTATCTGAGGCTTGGTGATGTGATCATGCATTCATAATTTCATCCTTTTCCCAAAATGAGACCTAAAATTATGAAATAGCTTCTCACCCATAATACAAATATATCTCTGGGACTGGGAAAAATAATCAAACTATTCAATTGGTAATTATCAATAATATGATTTGAGTATTAATAGTAATTATCACACTATCTGAATAAATAATAGAATTAAGAAATAGGGTTGAAGCTTGTTGGTAGTATAATTGTGTAGCATGCCCAAGGCCGAGTTTAATCCTAGTACTTAAAGGTATGTAGAATTGGGGCTGAGAAGGTGGCTCAGTGGTAGAATGCTTGCTTTGCATGCATGAGGCCCTGGGTTCAATTCCTCAGCACCACATAAGCAGAAAAAGCAGGAAGTGGCACTGTGGCTCAAGTGGTAGAGTGCTAGCCTTGAGCTGAAGAGCTGGGGGACAATGCCCAGGCCCAGAGTTCAGAGCCCACGACCGCCACCACCAACAAAAGATATGTAGAATTAAGTATATAAAATGTGAATCTTCTCATTTACAATCCCAGTCTTTTTTGTGTGTATATGTACTGATGCCAGAACCTGAACCCAGGTCCTTGCACTCACTGGACTTTCTTGCTCACCACTTCAGCTATAGCTCCAGTCCAGTATTTTTCTGGTTAATTGGAGATGGAGCCTCTTGGACTCTTCTGTCTCAATAAGCTATCAACCTTGATTCTCCAGGTCTCAGCCTCAGTTGTTGCTAGGATACGCATGATCCACAGATTCCCAGATCATAGTTCCACTCACTATCACTTCTTGGTATGAAAACTGTTTTTCAAGGTACACAAATTCACTTAATTTTTAAGTAAAACTTTATACATATTGGACCAGTACCATGCCTGAGCTTTCCTATGCATCCACAGACAAAAGAAGGTGTTCATATTTCAATTTTAAAACAAAGCAAGTTACGTTTGTAAGTATTTTTGAAATATTGGAACAATATTAAAATGTTCAAAGAAACCTCTGAGAAGTAAAATTATTGGAAGATAGAAGGGGGGATTCTCGTTGTATAATTCTTAAAATATTTGCAGTTTAAATGATCTCTGTCTTATACCAAAAATATTTCTGTTAAAAGGTATAAGTGAATGAGAAGAAAAAGAAAAAATGGACATAAGATATTTAGAAAAAAAGACATTTTAATGACAATATCCAAATTAAAATGCCAGTTAGAGTTAATGAGGCTATTTGCTAAGACTAGTATTGATAATTAATCAGAATTGAGCATATGGTGAAAACTAATAAAACTTTTATCATCTAAAACTGTTTTTATAGATATATCAGTCTTCGTTTATGCCATAAAATAGTATTTGCTGAAGAGTTTGAGTATATCGGATACCTGGTGGTAGTCATGAACATGTATCCTATGGCCCTCTCTTGGCTATCCCAACTAAAGGACATCTATGATCTTGAGATAAGACATGCTAACTACTATTTTCTTGCCTTTTACATTCTGGAGAGTCTGCTTAAGGTAATCCAGAGTTTGTTTGTGTGAATGTGTGGCATCTTTTTCACATTAGCTACACACAGTTTTCTAAAGGAGTATATGAGGTTCTTTTCTTCTCAGCACAAATAAACATTTTTAAGAGGCTGCTTAGGGTGACAAAATAGAAAATACTCACATTGTAGTAATTGATTGTGTATCTGCAAAATATGACATGGTCAAAGGGACACAGAGTGACTGTAAGCAGAATTAGAAATGTAGTTAAACTCAGCAGGGTAGAGAGCCCAGGAATTTCACATTATTACTTCTACACTAGGTGGATAGATGGATAGATAGATAGATAAGTAGGTAGCGTGATAGGTTCCTTTTTAGCTCTTAATATAAAGATAGTTGTGAAGTGGTGGAAATTCATGCCTAGAAACCAGTGATAGTATTATATTTTATGGATGAGCAAGTTGTGATACAAAATTTTCTAGCTAGAAAATATAAGTTGAGAAATTTTATCTGATATTGGGGCACAAGAAACAAATCTCAGATCTTCACAGGAAAACTCAAATGCTAATGTAGATCCACAGTATCACCAAAAACAAAGAATAGATTTAGATTCATTCTGATCCATTTGCAGTTAACTTAGAATTAAAAGAAAGTAATCCAAGTAGGAGTAGGCTAATAATCGTTTGCTGGGGTGAGCACCCTGTTTAACATGCACTAGATTAGACAAAGTGCTAAACTGGGATTCCATATCCCTTGACTGTGGTTTTGATCATCTCTCATGAGGTCTAAGAAGTTGACCACATTGCATAACTTTTCCCAATCTAAATAGTGTTGTGCTAAGTGGAAAATAAAGATCCCTGTAGCTCTCATACCAGATCTCTCTAGGATTTCTTATACTTGGTTGAGGTTAAAGCAGCTCTCATAGCCATGGTGGACCAACTTGAAGCTCAATGAAGACATCAGAACTAGATTGCAGAGATGCCCCTTGCACTTGATAAGGTATTGCATGTACACCCAAGTGCACATTCAATCATTTAATAAGATATTGTCACATGAAATATCACAGTTCGGATCTAAACTTTTAAGATTTCATATATATTTCACTTTTAACTTACAAAATGAGCTCCTTTCATAATATTCATATTCTATTAGGCAGTTCACCATTCAACCTGAAAAGGACTTCCACTGTTCTTAATTAGAGCCGGCAAAATTGGCAGGAAAGCTTACTCAATTGTGGAATCAGGCAATGAAATCCTTCTTTTCAGGATTCAGATTCAGTTAGTGCATTCAAATGAATGCAATAAAAAAACTTAATGCAATCAACTCCAGGAAAGAAAATCATGTATTCTAACCTGGTCTTACCTAGCATTAGATTTTTAGATGCATCAGTTTATGTGTTGCTTCCAAAAAGTCACCTTTTCTGTTAGACATTTTCAAAGGTTGTTATCTGAATTAACAAATAGTCTAGCTTTCTGTACTGGCTCCCTAAATGTATCGGGGCAACAATAGGGAAAAACTAAGATGTTTTAAACCCTTAAACTGCAATGTCTCAACTTGTATATATCTTATATAAAAGGCTGTCCTATCATTTCATCTCTATTAAAATATCCTACTAAAATATTCCTATTCTAATATAAGAATTTATAGCGATGGATAAAAGTGGTACAAATAACTTCTGAAATATATTTATGTGAATGTACACATTAGTAGAGCTACATGTTAGTTCTATAAATATATTTGTTGACATGAAAGTTACATTACCAAATAATTCTGAGAAACTAGATTTCCAAGAGATCAAAATGGCTTTTATTCTGTTTCATCAGAGAATAAAAATTATGTAAGTGGGATTTTCTTTGTTTCCTTTTTTCTTTTAGTATTGAGGTTTGAACTCAGGTGCTCGTGGTTTTACTTTACCACTCAAGCCAAACTCTTCCCAGAACTTTTGGCTTTAGTTTATTTTTCATATAGCACCTCGTGCTTGGATTGTGGTCTTCCTTCAATCCCCTACCTCTACTTCATGTTTATCTGCTTTGTTTTTGATCACTTACAACTTTGCATATCAATTACTTACTATTAAAACAGAATTATTAGAGGCTGTTTGTTTTAAATTAAAATACTTTGACACACTATTTATTGTTTGGATTGGTCTGCCTGGTACATGTTTCCTGAGACATTTTATGAATATTTTTCACCTGTATCTGTACTTGAAGCTGATTATAAATCAATATTCCACATTCCTTCACTAAAAGGTTAAGCTAATAAACTTACTCTATTTATTTTGTTTTGTTTCAAGTGTTGGTTTTTCAGAGACAGATAGAAGAAAAACCTAATTGTTAATGTTTAATCTATTATGGAAAATGGTATAGGAAAAGCAAAATTATGACAATGTGATTTCTTTTTAAATCAACAGATGGCGGCAATAAGGAAGGAATATTTTTCACAGGCTTGGAACCTATTTGAGTTAGGAATTACATTAGTTGGCATCTTAGATATAATACTTATAGAGACAGGAACCATTAGTTATACTCTTGAATTAGTTGAAACTGTAGTTTTTATGAAAATTACTCGACTCCTTCGCATCCTACGCCTTTTAAAGGTAAAGTAAATGCTGCAATTCCAAATTTCTCCTGACTGCTTCATGAAATATGGACAAACATCAGTTTATTCATTTTTTAGCAACTATTTTATTTGGGACTATTTTTTTGATAGAGATGTTCTTATTTTCATATTATGGCTGTCTGACAGGGTTTGAACTCAGGATTTTGCACTTGCTAGGTAGGAGGTCTACCACTGGAGATACTTGGCTCTTTGTAATTTAATTATTAGTGTCTCCCATTTTTACCGTGTCTGCCATTTGCAATGGTCCTCCTGATCTCTGCCTTCAAAGTAACAGGAATAATAGTATTATATCTAGCTTTTTATTAGGTTAGGATAGAGTTTCAGGAGCTTTTTCCCTGAAACTTTTTTTTCCCACAGTCCCCCTGACCTTCATCTACCCAGTAGCTATGATTACAGTCTGGAGCCATCACACTTGTCTCTTTATCTCTCTTTCTATTCATACACAAACAAGACATAAGCACAAGTAAGCAGAATGGGTAAAGCTAAATGAGCATGGTTTATCTAGAGTTTAATGTAATAGTGTGGAATGTAATTTTTACCTTCCTTACATATGTTTAGAAATACTTTTACTACTAAGATACATGAATGAACAAAGCATACAACTAGTATTCTCTCTTGTTAGTCTTCTGTGGAAAAGTAATATAAGTGTACAGTTTAACCTGAGAAAAGCAAGTCTAGTGTTTTCTAAAGTAAAGTCGAGTTAATTCTTTCTGATGGGAGGTTATAGAAAGATTACTGAGTAGTTTACAAATAGACATACTCTCAGTACCAAGGGACTTTATCAAAAAAGGAACGAAGGAATTGCTATCTAGATTTTCTTGTGTTATATGGTAGAATATAGCAAAGGAGTAGGCATGGGAGAATGCTAGCGGGAGAAGAAACTTCCTTTATTAGGCAATACTTGAGCTGAACCTTGAAAGAAGATAATACACAACCAGGAATCGCAGGTTGCAGAGCACAGAGAAGAAAACAGAAGAAATTGCCAAACTGCAGAGAAGTTAAGGGAGTGCACAAGGACTACAGATAACTTGGAGACATAAACCCTCAGCCAGGGAATAGAGAGCAGAGCAATTAATTGCAGGAATCTGTCTGGGAGTATGGTAACTGCAAATTTCCACTCAAACAACATCTGCAGAATTGTCATGTGAAGGGGATAGTGCTCTATAGACAGTCACTTATGATCTATGCCAACAAGATGTGACAATAATTCCCAAGAATTTAAACTTCTAAAATAACATCTCCTTCTCTACAAAAGAAATACATACAAGCAATAACCTTATAAATTGTGCAAAATCCCCAACATTAATAATTATAGAGAAATCATGAAGCTATAAAGAAATCATGAACAAATAACCAACAGCCTTGATGGGTTTTTGCAATAGTACGTGTGTGTGTGTGTGTGTGTGTGTGTGTGTACTAGTACTGGGGCTTAATCTCACGGCTTAGAATCTATCCATTAGCTTTTTTTGCTCAAGGCTGGCACACTAACACTTGAGCCACAGCTCCACTTGTGGCTTTTTGGTATTGAATATAAAAGTTTCATGGACTTACTTGCTTGGGCTGGCTTTGGACCAAGATCCTCAGGTCTCAAGCCTCCTGAATAGCTAAAATTATAGGTGTAAGCCACCAACGCCTTGCCTTTGCATTATTTTGTGAGGCCTCTTAATTCTTTATTCTTAAAAGTTTTAGTTAACTAATCATAAATCAAAGTTGTATAGTTTGTAGCAAATTATAATCCTGGCTTGCGTGTTTACTTTTCAGCTTGTAACACCAAAATTACTGCAGATAATAGATAAAAGAATGAGTCACCAATTGTCTTTTCACTATGCTATATTAAAAGGCTATGCTCAAGGAGAGGCAGATGTACTGAATATAATCGACCAGATTGCAAGTTCCAAGCAGGTTAAGCAGGTGAGGAAACCCTCCCCTGAGTTCCTTGAAAAGATGTCACTTCTCATATCCTGTGGTTGCTCTTGGCCATCTTGAACTCAGTCTCTATGTGCAGGTGTGTTCTTTGGCTCTTGGGTAATTACTGTAAAAACTTAAAATACTTCCAATTTAAATCACTCAAAGAATCTTACTGAAGTATTTGTGTCTTGTGAAGAAGTCCTGAGGCTCTTTCAAGGTGCCTTTTTGTCTGTGTGAATGAAGCCCAGGTACACGCATCAGATTTTCCCAAGTGCCAGGTCCAGGATTTGACAGGAAACCATGGGAAATGAAGAGTAGTGTTACAGTGGAGCACCTTTATCTTCACATTGCCCAAGTGTTCCTTCTATCTCCCTCCATCTTTCTTTTTTCTACAATAAACAGTAAAGGAAATAAGTGACTTGTGTAGAAATGGAAAGAAATAAAGAAAATAGTAACTCTCCTAATAGGAAGGCCTTGTCAGATTTCTCATTATGCAGATAAAAATATGTGAGTCCATGAGGAGTGAAAGTACCCTACCCAGAGCCTCAGGACTACTAAGTAGGAAAGGTATTCTTGAGTCTAAATTCTATTTGTTTTTAATTTTATAATTTGAGGCAGATTAACACTGACAAATTAGAACATTTCAATGCTAGATTTTATGCTCACATTTGAGAAAATTGTACACTTGATATGTGCTAGAACACAAAAATAATACCTTCACCACCTACAACTTGGATATTTTCTTGAGCAGTATTGCCTTTTCTAATCACTGATATTTAGCACTAGAATTTGAGGGTACTAAGGAGAAGATACAAAAGGACTTGGATGTCTAAATTATATCCAATTTTTGTCTTCATTTTTGTCCTTAAATGTCTTGGCTTAGCCTTTTAATCACTTATGGTTAAAAACCATTCCTGTGTCCCCAAATTGGACAGTCTCATAGAGCTGCATGGGAAAGTATCTACCATGCTTTCAGAATCAACAGCATTCTATCTTGTTGCATTAAGGACAATATGTGATTATTTTAAGATTCTTAAAATCAGTCTGGGTGATGTCATTTCTTTAGCACCATTGCTCAAGCGAATAAATCTTCCTCATCATACTTCTCTATAAGTTAGTAGATGTGGCTACAAATCCATGCATTGCCAATGTAAAGACATTTCATAATAGTTCATTGTCTCAATAGAACTAATAAATCTTTTGTTCTTCAGATCTTATTAAATCGGGTAACAAGGAATATGGAACTTGCCAGGAGAGAGCTAGGTAGGTACCTTTATCCTAGGTATGCAACAGAACCAAGTTTATCATCACAACTTTAGAAAAATCCATTGTTTATGTGACTACTAATCTTTGAGGAAAGCTACTCACTAAAAATAACCAAGTGGATAGCAATCTACATGACTTTGTTTTCTAGTATAGATGAGCATGATGTAATATAGCTACTGTATCCTATTCTACAATAGCTTTTTAATGACCATTTGAATAATCCACACCAACAAGGCATCATTTGGGATGTCATTTGACCTTATTGTTTTCATCCAAACTGGGAACATGTGAACCTTATAAGAAGACACCTTGTCCCTATACTTGCCATAGGCCTGACATTCAAGAGCTTAGGCCTTTTAGTGGGAAAAATCAGAACAGAACCTTGTAGCTCTAGCAGGGCTGCTAAATCTCGATGTCCACTCCTGGCTACAGCCTATTCTCTTGAGTTATACCACATTATGGTCCTGGTGCAGGACAAATTCTAAGAGTGAAACAGGCATCTTGATCCAACATTGCAAACAGGAGAAAGGTTTGATACCAAAATAGTTGCAAAAGAACCCAGCAAGCCTGCTAATAAAGCCAAGCTTGAGAATAGTTACCAAATAGATAGTTACCAAAACAGACATGAGATCATGACCAAGGAAAAGCCCTTAGGTTTATTTATTAGCCCTTGGCTAATAAAGCCAAGCTTGAGAATAGTTACCAAATAGTTACCAAAACAGACATGAGATCATGACCAAGGAAAAGCCCTTAGGTTGAATCTGAAGGTACAAATATTTACATGGGGTTACAGGAATCCAAATTTGGTAAGTATAGTAGCCCAAATCCTCTGGCAGGATGAGGAGAAAATAATACAGGATGAAGAAGACTAAACTACAAACCACTCCTGAGCCCATAGACAACAGTCAAAAATCCTGATTCAAATGGAGCAGGAAAATGGATCATGAGTGCTAGAGTTAAAAACCCAAAGCAGCTTCCCAGGACCCAAGGCAGGTGGATCGAGACAATTGTCAATCTTGGGTCCAGTGTTGCTTGTCTTTATCGGTTCAGGCACAAGTGTGAGTGTTGCCAAGAAAGAGACAGAACTCTGACACCACTGATAAGTAAAGATTTATCAAAGTGAACCTGTCAGAGGAAGATACATATATCCCTTTGTTGAAAGTGGTAGTCCATGAATTCAGAAAAGAAATGTTAGCTATGGTCTGCTTACAACAATGTTTTGTTTCATCTGAAAATATTTTGTTACCTTTCAGGCTACTTCGAGTATGATCACCCAGAAATCACTATTACTATGAAAACCAAGGAAGAGATTAATGTCATGCTTAATATGGCCAAAGAAATTGTCAATGTTTTCAAGTCAAAAGGAATTCTTCATAAAATCGAAAGTTCTGAAATCAATAAAGTAAGGTGGAATATTTTCAGAATACATTTATTTAGTCTGTAGTGATCATGAGGCCTATTTTTGATTCTTTGCAAATGAGTATTCTTGAAAGATGAAATTTTACTTAAAATAATTGTTTAAAGACAAATATCTACTATAGTTCCCTTCATGAATCTCCAGTGGTCAACTCTTGTTCTGCCACAGTGAGGTAGTGTATCATTCTCCCAAACTGAAGATCCAATGAGCCTATTCCATCCTAAGCTACAATGGGTATAAAAGTATGTTCTTGGGAATTATCTCTGGTGTCTAAATATCATTTCCACTGTAACCTATAATTTATAAGAACATTCAATTGTAGAGTTAGGAATAACTACATTTTCTTTCTCTAAGTTATTAATATAGTGCCATAATATATAAAAATGTGTTCCCAACTCATTGTATGAACTCCAATTATATTTACTGATTATTTAATTAAAATCTTAATGGATTCATTTAGAACCTTTAGAATTAATAAGAGATTTCAGCAGAATATTCAGAAACAAGATGAACATAAAATTCATCCCTAACAGAAGATAATACAGAAAAAAGTGCTTTTAAGCAATTGAAGTTAAAAACTATAAATCCTTAAGTATGGGCCCAATATAAAACATACATGTAGATAAAAACTAAAATGCTCTAACGAATATGTGTTTCTATGGAACAAGGGTTGGCAAACATTTTCTATAAGGGACAACATAGAAAACATCTTATACTATATGAGCCTATGTGGTTTCTGTTTCAACTATTCAATTCTACAACTGTATCAGCACTATAGTTACATGAAACATGTAGTGAATAACATGGCAGAGCCCAGTTATCTGCCACAGTGAATGATGAAAGAGTGGAGAGGAGGAAAGAAGGAAGGAAGGAAGGAAGGAAGAAAAAAGGAAGAAGGGAAGGAGGGAGGAAGGGAGAAGAAGAAAGGGGGAAGAAAGAAAGAAAAAAAGAACAACACTAGCAGATGGCAATTTGAAACTTTATAAAGAAACGTAGATCTCAGTAACAATAAACATTCTTGTAGAATTGATGTAAAGTTCCAGCATTTGTTTTCCCAACAATTTAAGAGACAAGGATGGTTGTAATTTTAGTTCAAACTTCTCATTTTGTTTTTTATGTAATTCAGGAGACCACTGTATTAAAAGTACTACTTTAGAGTTTGGGTTACATAATGTATAGAGATTGAATCTTGTGACATTAACAGTTGAAGAGGTTGAGTGCTTGAGCACTTGAAAGAATGGGATTTCATATATTTTTGGAAATTAAGCTTGTAGAAATTCAAATTAAAGTATGGTAACTTTGGGATATTAAAAGTAATCTGCAGTTTACAGTATAAGAGTCAGAAGGAGATTGAGGGAAGTAATCATTGTGGGTGTGCCTTTCAATGGACTAGGACCCTGGCTTCTTTCTCTTCTTTCTTCTCTTTCTGCTTCCCTAAGCCCTGACATGAGAGATCAGCTCCCCCACATGCTCCCTGCCATGTCCCAGAAATAACAGAGCCAAGTATTTATGGGCTGAAACCTCAGGAACCATGAGTCAAAATAAATGTTTGGTCCTCTTAGTTGAGCCTCTCGGGAGTTGCGTCACAGGAGACAACAGTTAATTAATACAGTATAGTTATAAAGCTTTGATTTATTTTCTGACATCCTGTGAACAGCAATTAAGTTCAGTTTCTTTCTTCAATTTTGTAATTTGTAGCTAATCATGGCCAAAAAAAGAGAGGTGCTTGATTTTCAATCTATTGTCAGCTCTCCACCCATTGATGAAACTTTGTATCATATTCCATGGCTTGCTAAAGATGACAAGTGTAGTCAATTTATTCAGGTAAGACTTTTTATTTTCTGACCGTATCATCTTCAATCAACCCAAAAATAGTCTTGAAAAAGTTAGAATCTTGGGTGGGGACAGAAAGGAGAAACTGACTTACATAACTATAATCCCTCTGTACATCACCTTTACAAT